TATCCACTCAGATCTTAAACGCTCTCTTCGTGCTCATGTGCCTCATCTGGCATCCGGTCTTCATGCGAGACGTGCTTCTGCTTATCCGGTGGAAGCCGAAAGATAAGTGGGAGATTCGCGCCGAGTACTGTAAAGACGGGAAACGGAAACCCAACGATCGCACGCACATGGCGTTTGTCGTTTTCTGGCTGCAGCTAACGTGCTGGGCGACGTACGCCTTCGCAGCGGTCTTCCTGGTCTACCCTATGGGTGAACGACCCATGAGCCTGATCATCGTCACCACTGTCGTTTCCTTCGCCGCACCCGCGTTCGCCTTCCTCCATCTGCTCCTGAGCCCTCTGAGCAAGGACTATGACATTGTGCGGGTTGGAGAGGGCGACGGGGCCAAAGTGCAGATGTTTCAACGGAGTGCTACGTTTATGGTGTCTCACACGAAGGTGGAGGACGCGCAATGGGCTGGGTCGGTAGTCCCTGGGTGCTGCTCCGAGCCGCGCGTAGCGTGCCTGAGCTGCTTCTTCCCCTGCTGCATGTTTGGGTACAACATGGAGAGGCTTGGGTTTGGCCATCGGATTGTCCACGCGATGATGTTCGTTATCATGCTCATCGGCCCGGTGTTGATTTTCGAGCTCTGTGCAGATGCCGTTCACGCGGATCTCTCCAAAAACGTTCTCTTTTACTTAGGCGTTGCAATTGCCATCACCGGGCTTGCTTACGGTGGTGCCTGGCGAGTGAAGATTAGGGAGACTTATAAGCTCCCCGGATCCCGTTGGTGGTGTGGGAGCAGGCGCCTGACAGATATTTGCAGTTGGGTGTGGTGCTGCTGGTGTGCACTGTGCCAAGAGGTCCGGACCACGGATCAGTATCAGGTGGTGGAAAACTCGTTCTATAGACGAGCAGGCGACATTGAGAGTGGGTCTGGCGCCCCTGCACCTGCCGGGGCACTGGATACAGTTCCTGATGCTGAGGAGGAAGTGGAGGAAGATGAGGAAGATGATGAATTGGATGCTCCTACTCATCAGACAATGCAGAAGTGAAGTTGATGGTGAAGAAATATGGGACAAGGGGTTTTTGCTACCTTTTTTATGCTTTGTAGAACTAGGTTAACTTATTTTGCTCATGTATCATTAATCTCAATAAATTTCGTTATGTTGCCGATTGAAGACATTTATGTTAAGACATTTCCATTCTAGAAATAGTGTAATACGAGTATTGTTTCATATTTGAATTGATAACAAGAGATCATGTGGAACAAGTGCACTCTATGAACCCGCACGACTAACGTTTCGCTACAAGCTGGATGTACGTCTTGAATCCGTTCTGTTACTTTTTTTTTTTTTTTTTTTTTTTTTTGGAGGTTTTTTTTGTTTTTTTGGAAAACGCAGCCTCAAGAACACCCCAGAATCCGTTCTGTCGTGACTGCCGTGCAGTACCAGGATCCCCGTCTAATATTCTTTAGTAGCATCCATAACCGTTGTGACCGTTGACCTTTGCTCGAGGATTCAGAAGAATTAGGTTCTCAAATGGGGGTTGACTATTACGACTTATTAGAAGTCCAAAAATCCGCAAGTGATGACGACTTGAAGAAGGCGTATCGGAAGCTTGCCATGAAATGGCATCCGGACAAGAATCCGGACAACAAGAAAGCAGCCGAAGCTAAATTCAAGCAAATCTCGGAGGCGTACGAGGTACACCCTTTGCCTAGCAGCTGATTTTTCATCGCTGTAACTTGCCAGTTTACCCTCAACCTACAGAACTTGTCACGTGCAGGTATTAAGTGATCCCGAGAAGCGACAAATCTACGATCAGTACGGCGAGGAGGGTTTGAAAGGACAGGCTGCACCCGGAGGGGGGTCGTACAGCAGTCATGGAGGTCACTCGCATGGCAACTTCCGTTTCAACCCACGAAGCGCTGAGGACATATTCGCGGAGGTCTTCGGCGGACACAGTCCGTTTGGAGGGGCTTACGGACCCGGATTTGGCGGGATGGGTGGCATGGGTGGTATGCCAAGTGGTCGATTCAGTCGCATGGGGAGCGCCAACGGTATGGGGGAATCGATGCAGTATCAGGATATGTTCGACCATGGCATATACGGTTCTCAGGCTTCATCAGCTTCGACTGGTCCCAGAAAATCCCCACCCGTGGAAAACAAGCTTCCATGTACGCTAGAGGAACTGTATTCAGGATCTTCCAGGAAGATGAAGATCTCACGCAACATCATAGATGCAAACGGGTAGGTATGCCTTTCATTTTTCCAGTCAAACCTACGATCAATACCTCTCGAACCTCTTATCCCTACTACTTTCCCTGCCTTTTTCTCCCCGTCCTCTTTCCTTCTTCTACCATCTTCCTCTTGTTTCGTTCTGGTCATTACGCCCTAACTCCATTCACCTCTGCAACTTCACATCATTGGTTCTGCAGACGACAAAAAACTGTGGACGAGATATTGACGATCAATGTGAAGCCGGGCTGGAAGAAGGGAACAAAGGTCACTTTTGAAGAAAAGGGTAACGAGCAGCCTGGAATGATTCCTGCAGACATTACCTTTGTGATTGACGAGAAGCCTCATGACAGGTTCACACGGGATGGGAACGACCTTGTTTACATGTGCAAAGTCCCCCTTGTGGATGCACTTACTGGCTACACGGCAAACATCACAACACTTGATGGCCGGAAGCTTACTTTTCAAGTAAACGACATCATCAAGCCAGGGTTTGAAAAGGTGGTGGGTGGAGAGGGCATGCCGACCAAGGGGACCAAGGGTAACCTGAGAGTCAAGTTTGAAGTGCAGTATCCGTCCAGGTTGACAGCAGACCAGAAGACAGCAATCAAACAGGCTTTTGGGAAAACCTGACCATGTAAGTGACATTTTTTCTTTCTTTCTTTCTTTCTTTCTTTTCACTGGGGTTTTTTCTTTAAAAGTTGACCACATCAGTTCTGCTCAATGTAGTTCACTGGTTGGTTGACCTGCCATTGTTTGACAGACTCGTGCTTTTGTCAGTTACCACCCAGTTATGCTCTCTTTCTGATGTGTGCATTCCGTGTGTGCTCCCACCAACCCACATGCTTGCAGGTTATCTGAATAGACGCCCTGTGTTGGCAATGCCCCCATGCCATATTGCATCTGGGACATTTTGGAATATCTCTGATATCTAGTACCATTGGCTCCTGTAGCTTCCCAAGAGTCCCAAGTTTCAAGATAGAAAAGCCCTGCACTGTCAAGGCCAGTTTGACACACTTGAGCCAAGTGTACCGTAGCTTATTTGCAGATGCACCACACTCAGATGCAGTGACCAGTGCGCTTGGCCATGGTGAATATTAAAAAGGCAGAACCACCCATGGCTGTCAATAGTACCATGATCATGTAGAGTGCATTTTCTTCCTTTAAAACATGGAGTACGGGTCTACAACGTGACGTGTTGCTTCCATGTGAGCCACAGTGAGAATGGATCTGCCTGATGTATACATTGATAGGTTCCAAACGAGAGCCACGCCGATGCGCATTTCACTAGGGCTGTCACTTTATGTGATACCACTATGAAGAAGACCTTTGCGAAACATCATTTCTTCTGCCCTCAGAGAAGGTTGTGCGAGCAGGCCCAGATCCCACCAGAGGCTCTTCCTCATCCTCAGACACCCTGTGGCAGAAAAGCGTGAGAAGGAAAACATGAAACATCATCAGCCAGTACATGTCACCCTGGATGTCCAAGAAAACAGCTGCCATCCATCAACTTGGGATGGGACAAGGTGGGACATGCAGCCACAGGCATGCCAGCAACACATCGCTTGAAAACCCCGACGCAGCATGATACAATCCCACGTGCAGCTTGAATGTGTCCCCCATGCGTGCCAGGGTGCATTTCCGCAGCACAAAAATGGCATGATGCGGACAGAAAGCCTACCTGGGTTCAGAGCTCTCTTCTCCCCGGTTCCAGAGAGCACTCAGCTCCCCTCGTCGCCACGCCAACAGCACAATCACCCCTGCCAGGCCAGGTCACATGAGCAACGATGAGAGGATGGCAGGAGGGGAATGGTGTCAGCATGGGTGAAGCTAACAGACAGCGGGTTCAAACCGATTGGGAGCTGTAGACACAGCCGAAAGTGGTCAAAAGATAACGGCGTGGGGAGACGGGTTAAAACAAAACTAAAGGGAGAAGGAGATACCAAGGGTGCAAGGGACAAGGTAAAGCAGCGCGGGCTGTCCGTTGCCGTTCATCAGAAGCAGCCCCACAAACGTGAGAAGCAGGCCTGCCATGCAACGAGCAGAAAAAGCAGAGGAGCGGGATGAGCATGCAGCATTGAGACTGTGGCAAGGCACACATGTGAAATGAGCAGACTAGAGCAGACCACCTTGTGCTGTGAGTGCAGGACGTGCATCACGAATGCACCACATGTAATGCAAATGCAAGCCACAAATGAAAGTTTGCCGCTTCTCAAGCGTACAGAGAAGAGAGCCAGAATCGTACCCACAGCATAGCCGATGATGGCCGGCAGATAGTACCCATCCATGCCCATCTTCTTGGTGATGCAGTCGTATCTGAGTGACTCAAAAGACAACACAGAAGAAGTATTTTTTACAAATCTCTCACAAAGACGTCAACAGCCGCCCGTGCCCATCTTCTTGGTGATGCAGTCATATCTAATGCACTCGGAATCAGAGGAGAGATACACAGGTCGGCGGGTAGGAGGGAGTCAGCCAAGAAAAAGAGGAAGGCATAGCAGAGGGGAGCAGAGAAGATTAAAGCAGAGCAGATTGGAGCAACACCAAGACCACAGCTGGCAACAATGGATGTACATTCACTCCAATTCAACGAGTCAAATTGCCTGGAAGTACGCAACAAGTCACCACAACGAGTCACCTTCTGGTGAAGACAATGAGCAGGCCTGGCAGCACGATGTTCCCAAAGCTCAGCTCGGAGTATCCCTCCCCGGGATCCGTTATGTGAGGCACCTTGAGCAGCGGGAGGATTATTTAGGCGCCTAAGAAAATGAGAACAGCAATCTACCTTCTGCTGAAGACGATGAGGAGGCCTGGCAGCACGACATCGCCAAAGCCCAGCACAGAGTATCCCCCCCATGGATCTGTTATGTGCGGCACCTTGAGCAGCATGGGTATGCCCTCTCCTCCCGTGCGCTCCCCTGTTGCCACCTGGAAGGAAGCACAGGATTGGACGAACAGAACACACAGTTTTGAGTACGTCGGAGAGAATGAGACGGGGACGAACCGACGTGGATGGCAAATACTAATCGGATGACAAGCGGAAATGGAAGGCAGGCAGAAAATGGACCGTGCAGACGCACTGACCTCGATCATAACGCTCTTTCCGTTGAAGAAGAGCGGCGAGATGAAGACCCAGAAAATGTCGTAAAAGAAAGCGAGGGAGAGCAGCACAGTGGACACCTGGTGAGAGGGGAGAGACATGCTGAGAGACATGCTGAGAGACATGCTGAGAGACATGCTGAGAGACATGCTGAGAGACATGCTGAGAGACATGCTGAGAGACATGATGAGGAGGGGAAATGGAAGACACAACACAAGCCCATGCATAGCCCATGGCAGTGTACAAGGGTGGGGGTGCAATGGAGCAATCGAGGGTGTGAGGATGTGAGAGTGCGAGTGCGAGAAGGTGCGAGGACCGGCGGACTGACCTTGATGTTGGGCAGACGCACTGCCTGCAGCACCGTGATCATCAGCGCTATGCCCTGTGATAGGGTGGGGAGGGGTGGGGGGGAGCGGGCGGTAAAAGGACAAAGAGGGCTTCAGACGCACTGCCTGCAGCACCGTGATCATCAGCGCTATGCCCTGTGATAGGGTGGGGAGGGGTGGGGGGGAGCGGGCGGTAAAAGGACAAAGAGGGCTTCAGACGCACTGCCTGCAGCACCGTGATCATCAGCGCTATGCCCTGTGATAGGGTGGGGAGGGGTGGGGGGGAGCGGGCGGTAAAAGGACAAAGAGGGCTTCAGACGCACTGCCTGCAGCACCGTGATCATCAGCGCTATGCCCTGTGATAGGGTGGGGAGGGGTGGGGGGGAGCGGGCGGTAAAAGGACAAAGAGGGCTTCAGACGCACTGCCTACAGCACCGTGATCATCAGCGCTATGCCCTGTGATAGGGTGGGGAGGGGTGGGGGGGAGCGGGCGGTAAAAGGACAAAGAGGGCTTCAGACGCACTGCCTGCAGCACCGTGATCATCAGCGCTATGCCCTGCCGGGGGAAGGCGGGACGGGGAGAGTGGGGCGCGTGGTGGGATGCAAGGGGAGACAGGGGGAGGCGAGGGAAGGCGGGCACATGATGTGGGTGTGGAGTGACGACAGTCGTACCCCACCTCGTTACAAGGCAGCTCAAAAGAAAACTCGCCTAAGAAATCATACAGCAAGAAGACTATTAAGACAGCAAAACCCCCCTTGCCCTTCCCCTTTCCCAACCCCCCTTCCCCACTCCTCCCCAACCCCCTTCACTCCATTCTCTTGCTCATACCAGGACATCCTGCTTCTCCTGATTCTATTGCCTTTCCTTCTATTGCCTTTCCCATAACAGGATATCCTGTGCCACTCTGAGTGGGCGCAAGCCCCCCCTTATTATAAAGCAAGATAGCCCAGGAGACAATTCCGAGAAAAATCAAAACTCGTACCAGGATATCCTGTGCCACCCATGCGTCAGGGTGGATGTAACCCAACCCAACCCAACCCAACCCAACCCTGTGTAGTCATACCAGGATATCCTGTGCCACCCATGCATCAGGGTGGTTGCGGAAGATAGCCCAGGTGATGGTGAGGGCGAGGGAGAGCAGGAAGGAGGAGAGGGAGAGCCCGGAGACGAATCCAAGGAGGGGGAGAGCAACGCCGTGAGGAGACTGGAGTGGGAAGAGCCTGGAAAGAAAGAGAGAGAGAGATGCGGGGAGGGGGAATGGGAAGAGACACATTAACGGAGGAGGAAGGGTACTAGACCAAGCAGAGAGGAAGGAGGAGAGGGAGAGCCAAGAGACGAAGCCGAAGAGGAGGAGAGCAACGCCGAGAGGAGATGAGAAAAACAAGAGAATGGAGAAGAGCCTGGAGGGAGAGGATGAGAGATGCGTGTGGGGACGAGGGCGAAGGGAGAACAAGCGAAGGAGGCCTGAGGAGCGGGAAAAACAAGAGAGAAATCCGAAGATGGGAGAGAAATCCGAAGATGGGAGAGAAATCCGAAGATGGGAGAGAAATCCGAAGATGGGAGAGAAATCCGAAGATGGGAGAGAAATCCGAAGATGGGAGAGAAATCCGAAGATGGGAGAGAAATCCGAAGATGGGAGAGAAATCCGAAGATGGGAGAGAAATCCGAAGATGGGAGAGAAATCCGAAGATGGGAGAGAAATCCGAAGATGGGAGAGAAATCCGAAGATGGGAGAGAAATCCGAAGATGGGAGAGAAATCCGAAGATGGGAGAGAAATCCGAAGATGGGAGAGAAATCCGAAGATGGGAGAGAAATCCGAAGATGGGAGAGAAATCCGAAGATGGGAGAGAAATCCGAAGATGGGAGAGAAATCCGAAGATGGGAGAGAAATCCGAAGATGGGAGAGAAATCCGAAGATGGGAGAGAAATCCGAAGATGGGAGAGAAATCCGAAGATGGGAGAGAAATCCGAAGATGGGAGAGAAATCCGAAGATGGGAGAGAAATCCGAAGATGGGAGAGAAATCCGAAGATGGGAGAGAAATCCGAAGATGGGAGAGAAATCCGAAGATGGGAGAGAGAGCCAGCAGCAAACGAATGAAAGGGAGAGCCCTCCAGAACGAATTTGAAGGGAGTGAAAGGCGGGGCGAATTGGGGAGAGAAAGGGAGAAGGGGAGCGGAATGGTCCAGGTAAACAGAGGTAAAAGTGATGGTGCACGGAAATGGCAGAAAGATTTGCTCCTTGTTAGAGAAAGAGTAAAAAACTGAGGGATGAGAAAATTTTGGGGATGAATTCGCATGGGAACGATGGGAGTGGTGGCGAGAAGGAAGAGTAATGTAGGGGCGGATATGGCAAAAATGGGGTGGCGCAGAAAAGGGGAGCGAGCAAGGAAGTCGAAAGGTCAAGGAACGGGAGGGAGCAAGGAAGAGGGCGGGAATAAGGAAGAGGAAAGGTTGACAGACCTGTGGAGGAGCGAGGAGAGGCACACATAGAGCGACTGCATGGAAAAAACAGGATACAGGGGCATGTCGGGGCATACAGTGGCATACAGTGGCATACAGGCACATACAGACGCATACAAGAGCGAGAGGTGGGGGACCACAGGGTCAGGAGTGACAGATACAAAAGAGGATGTTAAGAATGGAAGTGATTCTTGAGTCGACTAAAAACTCGGCCGCACGGAGAAAGACAGGAGACGAGAGGTGGGGGGGGGACACATGATCAGGAGTAAGAGGATACAACAAGAACACATGCTGCATGACAGGGTCGCACATAAAATGCATGCAAAAGGGGAGGAGCGTGAGGATGATGTCGAAGACGAGAAGCTGGAGGAAGCAGCCCCAGGGCGAGAAGGGGCGACATGAGGACAAGACAAGAAGGGAGCGTGAGGATGAGGGGCGACATGAGGACGACAAGACAAGAAGGGGTGGTTTTGAGTCGACTCGAAGGGGCAACAGCTGCTGGAGACTTGAAGGGGCAACAACAGCTGCTGGAGACTTGAAGGGGCAACAACAGCTGCTGGAGACTTGAAGGGGCAACAACAGCTGCTGGAGACTTGAAGGGGCAACAACAGCTGCTGGAGACTTGAAGGGGCAACAACAGCTGCTGGAGACTTGAAGGGGCGACAACAGCTGCAGGAGGAGAGTGCTGCAGAAGAAAGTGATCCCTCCTCACCTCGAGCGCCGCAACGCAGAAGAGCGTGAGGATGATGTAGAAGACGAGGGGCGACATGAGGAAGAAGAGCAGCAGCAGCATGACAGACGACATCACCACGAAACCCACTGCTGACCCCACTGACATGTCATACGCTCCCGAGGAGTCGCCTTGTGGCTGGAGTATTGGGGAGGAGAGAGGGGATATAAATGAGGTGGACATGAGCAGGGGTTGCAGCAGCAGTGCTTTGTGACGTGTATTGAGACGTGTTTTGAGACGTCTCAAAACACTTCTTCAATCACGGGAGGAGAGAGGGGATATAAATGAGGTGGACATGAGCAGGGGTTGCAGCAGCATCACAGACAGCATCACCACGAACCCCACCGCTGACCCGCTGACATGTCGTAACTTTTGAGTCGACTCAAAAGTCTCCTACTGACATATCGTATGCTCCCGAGGGGCCGCCCTGGGGCTGGTAGGGACAGTGGGAGTGGGGAAGAGGAGACATGAATACGGGAGACAGGGGCGCAGGCCGAAGCTGACCCCACCGACATGTTGCACGCTGGCTGGTGCCTGCCTATGGCACGGGTCAGCAAGAGCAGACCAGGAGATCACGAGGAGATTAGCTGGAGGGAGTTAAGGTACGACAAAGCGAGGTTTGGCGAGAACAATAAACATCCCTGCGTTCGCGGCTGCGCCCTTCAACTGCTCTGCTAGCTGGCTCACTCACTCACTCACACATCCTCGCATGAAAGCGAAGCCCATCACCATCATCACCCGCCCCAACCTTATCCCCACGTTTCAACACCCAATCACTGCACCTCTTCTACTCCCCCACCACATCCTCCTTCCCTCCCCCATCTTCCCCCGTTCCCCCCCCCCACTCCCCCCGTACCTGGTCCGCCAGGGACTGCCCCGCGCCACTCTTCCCTTCCAGCGCGGCCTTCTCCTCCGCGGCAGCCCACGCGGACGCGCCCACGAGCGACAGCAGCGCCAGCGCCCACAGCACCAACTCTGCCAGGTCCAGCAGTGACCGCGGAGGCGCGTACAGGGACACAGTGACTGGCGCGGCGGAGGCGGAGGCGGAGGGGGAGGCGGAGGCGTTGGAGAGGGCTTGAAGGAGGAATTGGCCTGACGAGTTGGAGACCATGACCACCGGTATAGTCACAACGCCTTCAGTCAAGTCTGTTGCGTTGCAACCCATGCCAATGATACCTGCCACGGGGAACCCACGTACAAGTTTTGAGCCGTCACAAAGGAGGCCTTAGCTGAAACTTACCTAACTCTATGCATTGACACATATGCTGAAACACACCCAATCACTATCACAAATACATGACCCCAAAGCGTTAAAAACACGATCAAATCACATGTACAAAACGTACATCAAGTCCCATTCACATTCAAATCGCCTGCAGGCCATACCTTGTTTGTTGTTGACCATGATAGCAGCAGCAGCTCGCAGCCGCTGCACGCGGAGGGCCTTCGAGGCTAAGCTGCACTCGCCTTTTGAGGCGCCTCAAAAACGAAAAAAACACATCAAGTCCCATTCACATTCACACCACCTGGGTTACCTTCTTCACTGTTGATGACGATGGCATTAGCTGCTCCCAGCCGCTGCACGCGGAGGGCCTTCGAGGCGAAGCTGCAGTCGCCTCGCTGCACTAACACTGCCTGGCCCTGAAACTGGCATTGGGGAGATGGGTGAAGGTGGGCGGAGGATACGGAAAGAAGTGAAAGACAGGAGGCATGAAGACGTGAAGAAGCGGAACATGGAGTGAGGTTGAAAAAAAGCCAAGGATAGAAGCACCTGCGCGACAAATTTGACTTCAGGAGCATGGTGACTAACGAGGGCGAGGAAAAAAGACGGGGCTCTGAGCGCACGTACTGAAGGGAGAGGAGGCAGGGGGTCGGAACAAGCAAGCAGGGGCTGCATCTGCGCAAGGGAGAAGGAGAGCGCGTCAGCCTTGGTCTTCGGAAGCCCCGCGCCGAAGCTGGCTTCGAGAGCGAGGATTTGACGGTCATTGCTGCCGCTGATGGTGGCGTTGCCTCCCACGTGCACGGAAAGCTTGACCTGAGGTGGGGGGATGGTGAAACGAGATGATTTTTGAGTTGAATCAAACACGAATCTCGAGGTCACTGCCGCCGCTGATCGTGGCGTTGACTTTCACGTGCACGACAAGCTTGACCTGAGGTGAGGAGGAGGTGGGATGTGAGTTTCAGTCGACTCTAGAGTCGTATTGGGCTGATTATTCAAGCTAAGTTGAGGGGATGGTGGGATTGTGAAAGGATTGTGAGGAAACTCGGAGATTGTATCAAAGATGACTATGATGAGGCAAGGAAGGGATCGCCGTACCATTTCCACGCTGTTATCGCATCCTTGTCGCGGAGACTGTGCGCTTACGGACGGCGGACACAAAATCAGGACGAGCGAGAACAGCGATAGTAACAGAAGCCGTAGTGACGCTACACCCGGAGTGTGCTGTACAGGCAAGCATGATCGGCGAGTACTCGGCGCTCGGGTCAACCATCGACGGTCCATCTCAGACAGTACGACGATACGGTTGCTAATTAAAGAATAACGTATGCGTTGGATTCGTGATGCTTCGGGCGGGACGAACTGGCGTCAGAATCTGCTACTTTAGAGACGTCCCTAACCTCGTGGGAGTCTGCTAATAAACTCTCGACAAGCTAAGCTTATCCTCGCTAAGATCACGCATCAACTTCTTAACGAGTAAAAAAAACCACGGATTCCTGACCAAGGACCAACTCGGTCCTCTCCCGACGACGGCACGGAGGGGAATCTCGGAACTGTCAGCCGTGAGGGAGACCTATGGCTGACAGATAAGACAATGAGGATCAACTATTGAACTCGTCGACACGAGAGTTCCGTTGAAAGGTCGGGCAAATTCTAGGTTGGATTGGCTCTACTGCAGGATACCACTCTCTAACGTGTGCAAACGTACTACACCGTACTCGACGACCGAACAATGACATTGAAGGGTTACTTCCGAAGCTTTGAAGCTGGTTCGACGTGGACCTGTGGTCTTCTGACACTACGACCACGTCATCAGTTTCGAGGGCTTTCCCGCGCATTTGCTGTCTGAAAAAAATGCAAATTCTGTAAGGATTTACAAATCCTTACTGAGGCACTCGTTAGCGAGGCAATCCCGAGGGTCACGCGACGAACCTGTCTTGCCTATTTCGTCGCACCGAACCACCCCCGAGTCGGCCTCCGCTCCAATCGCAACCATCACCGAGCCATCCCATCCCGAACCCCCCGCCTAGCTAGCTCTTCCCCTATTTAGGCCTCCCTACTTCATTGTTTCTTCATTCAGTAATTCAGTAATTTCCATTCTCGTTATTCGTTTTACTGCGCACTCTGCAAGTTGATTCATAACAAATTCTATATATTCAAGCGTGTTACGAGTGCAATTGAGTGAACGAACGAGAATTGCACTATCGAAGCAAGAGTACAATGAGCGAAGGCATGAGCGAAGAATATATAGCGAAACTACAGTGGTAACGGTAATGGACTGTGGTTGTCGCGCGACGGGCCTGGGACTGAGGTTGGGAAAAAGTGTCGAAGCGGAGGCCCGGAGCGCGGGTTACCCGCCGAGCCGTGAGGTTGGGGTGCGACGTGCGAAGGTGGCGGGCGGATTGTCGATGCGAGGATTGTGAGTGGTAACGGTGCTGACTGTGGTGCTACAGTGATGTACGCGTTGAGCAGGGATGCGAAGTAAGGAAAAGGGATTTTCCTTACTAAGCGTCATAAAAGTCATGATATTTTTAGGATGTCTTACTAGGTGACCACCTTACGCAAATTTTATCATTTACACTCAGCCCCACTAACTACTCTCGTCTCCCTGCCTACAAAAGTGTGCCTCCTCATGCTCATACTCGTCGTCCTCATCACCCCCATCCATTTCCTCCATCTCATCATTCTCCTCCGCTTGCTCCGCATTCTCGCACAGCCTCGCATACTCCCTGTAGATCTTTCGGCTCTTGAGCCACGTCATAATCGTCATGACTGCAAGGCCGACAATTGCCAGCCCTCCAAGCGCAAAAATGGCAATGTATTTGGGGCTCAAGGTGCTTGAAGCGATGTATTTCACCTCCATGTCACAAATCCCCGCCAGTGTCCCTTCCGGAAGCTTCTCCGCTCCAGAAAGGTCCTCGTTACAAGTCTTCGGGAGCTTCCAGATGTATGTTACGTTGTGCACACCGTTGGCGTCGGTGCAAGAGTCCTCAAATCTCTGGTAGTCGTCCTTGGTGCAGGGAAGGCAGTACTCATCAGGAGGTAAGGGCACCTGGGGATTTGGCTGGCAAAGCTGCCAGTTTGGAGGGGTTAGAGGAAACAGGTACTCAGGAGAATTGAGCAAGCATACATCACCAACATGAAGAGCCAAGCCTGCGCCTTAACTCAAACACAAATTCAGGACAACATCTCCACAATAACCAAACCGAACACTTCTCCTTTCAGCCCTCCGCACCCAGCTACACCCAACCACAATCCACCCTTGGCTTGAATCACAGAAAACAGCCGTCTCTTGGTCATCTCCCCACTTCACCTGCCCCTGCCCCTGGAAACCCAATGAGTAGAGTACTCGTAAATGTAAATGTAGGTCAAGCAGCATACCCTTGGGGTCTTGTATTTGTAGATGAAGCGCTTGTTGTCGATACAAATGGCAACGGCCACGGGCTCCATGTCAAGCACGGTGCACAGCGGGCAGGCATACGCCGTGTACCACACCATCTGGAACAGACACGATACCGGCGCCCGCAAACCCCTTCAAACCCCGTCCGACCGCCTGCCGTTTCCACCCTCATCCAACTCCACCCAACCCAACCAGATCCCACTTTACCTGCCCCTAGGAACACAGAGAGCAACGCACCCTTGGCGTCTTGTATTTGTAGGTGAAGCGCTTGTTGTCGATGCAGTTGGCAACGGCAACAGGCTCCATATCCAGCACAGTGCACAGCGGGCACGCATATGCCGTGTACCACACCATCTGAAACAGGCATGAGACAGGCGCCTCGCGCCCCACGGGGATGACATCGCCCGACCGATTGGCCCATGCCGGGTAGGAGAGGGTCGGGTTCAGAGCTGCCTTCTTGCCCCCCTCCGTCCATGGCTCTGGGTGGCCGTAGCCTGGGGGGAACGGAGAGAGAAAGAGAGCGTGGAGAGAGGAGAGAGGTGAGGAAGAAGTGGGGAGGGGTGTGCCGGGTACCACACCACCTGGAAGAGGCAGGAGCCAGGCGCCTCCTGCCCTATCAATTGCCCCACCAGCCTTATGGTCGTACCAGCCCTGGGGTCACAGATGAGGTTGGGGTTGAAGGTGCTGGGGGCATCAAACATTGGGCAGCTCTCCCCGTTAAACGACATCACCAGCCCTCGCCACCAGCCTCAGAATCTCACCACCAGCCTTATGGTCTTACCTGCCTCGGGGTCACAAATGAAGGTGCTGCGGGCATCGGACATTGGGCAGCTCTCCCCGTTGAATGACAGCACCAGCCCTCGCCGCTCTTTTGAACTCAAAGCAATACTGCTCTTATGACTTCAACTAGACGCCTCACTCACCAGCCTCGGGGTCACAGATGAAGGTGAGATTGAAGGTGCTGGGGGCGTCGGACATCTGGTGAAGGCTGTACAATCAAGGTGCTGAGTTACATGTACATTCAGGTGCTTGTGCAATAGTCTAAACTCAAAGCCTCACCAGCCTCGGGGTCACAGATGAAGGTGAGGTTGAAGGTGCTGGGGGCGTCGGACATCGGGCAGCTCTCTCCGTAGAACGACATCACCAGCCCTCGCCGCTGCAGCTGCGGCTCGGAGAAGCTCCCCAAAGGGGCCAGTGACACGGTGTCCCCCAGGCTGTGGGCCGATGTGGCTGTGCTGTGCTCATTCAGATTCGGGTTGATCTGATGGGGAGCGGGAGGGGAGGCGGGGGTTAGGGAGGGAGGAGAAAGGATGTGAAGGGAAGTGGACAGGATGTGGCTATGCTCTGCTCATTCAGACTAGGAGGGGGGGCGGGGAGGGAGAAAACGGGGTGATGGAGGGGAGAGTGGAGGGGAGACGAGGAGAACGAAGGTGAGAGGGAAGGAAATGATACTTAAGTGTAATCAAAATCAGCAGTCAAAAGCAAACAAACATGCAAGAGTCAAGGCGAGGAGCGTCTGGATATCGATAGGGCGGTTTGGCTTGGAACCAGGGCACTCACCCGGCACACATAAGTGTTGTTGAGAGGCTTCCCACTGTACATGATACACGGATACGTCGTGTTGGAACAAGTCACGTTTGCGCGCCTGCTCACCACCTTGCCACCAACAAACGCTTGAGACGCCTCAAGAAGCACTCACCCGGCACACATAAGTGTTGTTGAGGGGCTTCCCAGTGTACATGATGCACGGGTACTTCGTGTTCGCTCTCTCTCCCTTGCCGCCCCTGCCCCCCTTCCCACCACCACTATCACCACTCCACACACCACCACCCCCAGCCGCACCACCCCCAACACCAGCACCCCCAGCAGCAGCAGAGGAAGCGACAGGGCGATACACAGCGTTATCACTGTTGCTGCGAGCACACACCGACACATAGTACTTAGGACCCTTCTGCAGGTCTACAAAGGATGGGCCTTCGTATATGGGCCCCACGAGGCGGCCCAGGTTCTGGTGCGCGAGGGGGGAGAGGTCGTAGAGGAGCGTGTCTGTACTGTTGAAGGAGCGGACGATGAAGGTGCAGAAGGAGGAGGGCGAGGTGATGTCCCCTATGGCGCACTCCGCACTGCCCTCCAGAGAGGATGTGCCCAGGCCGCACGGCTGGCAAGCAGTGCGGTTGCCCTGAGATGGTGGCAGGGGAAGGTAGAGCAAAGGGCGAGATGCGAAAAAGGTTGACTGAGAGGGAGGTGAGAGGTCGTAGAGGAGCGTGTTGGTGGAGTTGAAGGAGCGAACAATGAAGGTGCAGAAAGAGGAGGGCGACGTGACGTCCCCTATGCGAAAGATGTTCCCAGGCCGCACGGCTGGCAGGCTGTGCGGTTGCCCTGAAATGTTTGCAGGTGACGAGGACAGGGTGGGAATGGGGAAGGGGAGAGAAGAGGCAGGGTGAGAGACTCCATTGGAGCACTGGGGTCGGGAGAAGGGATGTGACGTCCGCAATGCTGCACTCCGCACTGCCTTCCAGCGAAGATGTCCCTGGTGAACAACACGGCTGGCAGGCAGAGCGGTTGCCCTGAGACAATAGGGGAGAACGGGGGAAGGAGGGACTGGCTAGCGCCATCATGGTGCACTCAATACGGATGAAAAAAAGGGGGAATCTGAGAACACAACTGCACTCACTGCTCGCTTCAGGTTGAAGGTGTTGGCAGGGCACTTCTCACACAGCCCTTCCCCGCCCTCACTGTAAAATCCAGCAGCAGCGCATTCCTCCCACCAATCCTCACTCTGCCCTTTGCTTAAGGAGAAAAAGAGTAAAACTAACCGCAGGTTTCGGGTTGAAGGTGTTGGCAGGGCACTTCTGGCACAGCCCTTCCCCGCCCTCACTGTAATACCCAGCAGGACACTCCTCCCACGCGTCCCCGCTCTGCCCCTTCTGCGCGCCTGCAGGGATGCGCACACACCCGGGCGCGCCCCCCTGTGCCGCCCCCCACACGCGCACGCTGTGCAGGATGGCAGAGGAGCGATCGACGGAGGTGCGATCGGCGTTGAGGGTGACCCACACCCACATGATGCGGTGGCTGCCTGCTGCCAGCGGCCAATGCTGGCTGCTGCTGCGACCCACTGGCACGCTCACGCCCATGCTGCCCCCGTCCTGAGGGAAGGTGGGAGGGGAAGATGGAGAGAGGAGTGGGTGAGAGAAAAAGGAGACAAGAGCAGAGAGGTTTGCGATCAGGTTGTCATTCATGTAAGAGAAAAGGTAAAGTTGCGATCACCTTCTCAGAAATCCCACCAACCTCACCTTCTCAGCTCATTGTCCCGCAACACATGCCCACCATACCTCGGTATTCTCCAGCAGATTATCGTCCACATGGAAGAGGCCGCGCTGCAGGTCACCTTATCGTTGACATCACCCACCTGAATACCACACAGCACTGCTCAACATCGCCTGACGCTCACTACCTCACAGCACCGCATATCACACCTCGATGTTCTCGAGCAGGTTGTCGTCCACGTAGAAGAAGAGTCCGCGCTGCAGGTCGCCAGGAGGGATGTCCACGTCAAAGTCGTATGTGATGTAGCCAGGGATGGTGAGATTCACTGTGAGTGCCAGCCACACCTGCGGGGAGACGGGAGAAGGTGGTAGGCAATACAAGGAGTAGATGATGAGAATGCTTGGCAAGTGTGGTTGGACTCATGAACAGGTCCCCAGGAGGGATGTCGACGTCAAAGTCGTATGTGATGTAGCCGGGGATGGTGAGATTCACTGTGAGCGGGCCAGCCACACCTGCAGGGAGGGGGAAACGAGGGAGATGAGAATCAGGAGGTGGTATGGTTTGGCACATGGACAAGCAAAGTCATATGTCATGTAGCCGGGGATGGTGAGATTCACAGCCAATGCTAGCCACACCTGCGGAGACAAGGGAGAGTGGTGGGGAGGGGTGAGCTTGGGTGGCACATAGACAAGCAAAGTCGTATGTGATGTAGCCGGGGATGGTGAGATTCACCGTGAGTGCCAGCCACACCTGCAGGGAGAGGAGAGAGGGAAGGAGGATGGAGAGAATGGGAACGCGCCATGTTATGGCGCATGGTCACACGTTATGGCGCATGGTCACACGATATGGTGCATGGTCACACGATATGGTGCATGGTCACACGATATGGTGCATGGTCACACGATATGTGATGTAGCTGGGGATAGAGCGAGGGGGAGGGAAGACACGGTTGAGAGGACGATGAAACAAAGTAGGTGATACTGTCGGACCAAATTCACCTCCCGCGAACCAAATTCACTCAACCAACAAACACACTTACAGAAACAGCTTTGCCGTTATTTGCCCCCACCACCCAAGATCAAGTGCACTTAACTAACAAACACACTTACAGAGGCAGTCTTGCCGTTATTCGCCCCCGAGTCCAGATAATCCCCCACCACTCGCCACCCGCCTGACCCACACTCCCCACTGCATCCAGTCTGGAAGCCGCTGGGAAGCTTCCCGTCTTCCACGGTGCGGAAGTGCTCCAGCAAGAGCATCCTCACTGCCGCCTCGCCAGGCTGGCACGGGTGGCAAGTTTCGTCCGATGTGGTTGAGGGGGCTGCAGAGGGAGGGGCAGCCGCGCCTGGAGGGGGGAGTGGTTGTACTGTTGATGCTTCTGAGACGTTCCGCGCTGTGCCCTGAAAAAGGGAGGGAAGGGGGATGGAAAAAGGAAGAGGAAGGGAGGAAGGAACATGGGAATGGCAGGGAGGAGAGCAACGTGAGGGGAGGAACGAGTGTTGCAGATTGAGGAAGACAATGGGAGGTGGGTGGGGGTTAGGGCGGTTAGCCAGAGAAGCATCATACAGGGTGGCTGCAAGAGTTTCAAACGAAGCAGGGATTGGCTAGAGGCAGATGGCAGAGAGAATGAGTGAAGGCAGAGAGTGAAGGCACAGAGTGGCTGGGCAGACGGCCAAGAGAGTGGGTGGGGCGAGGGCGTACAGTGGGGCAGAAGGTGCAGGTGAGAGTGTCAGTGGCAGAATCCACAACTGCGTACTGCCCTGACGGGCAGGGCTCTGCACACACGGGGCCAGAGGGAGGGAAGAGAGATATGTGCCAGGGAAGCGGCAATAGGGAGAAAGAGTCGACTTTTGAGTCGACTCAAACGTCAGCTCTGCACACACGGGGCCAGAGGGAGGGAGGAGAGATATGTGCCAACCTGGCAAGGAAGGGGTGACAGGGAGAAAGAGAAACACATGGAGGTGATTCCTGAGGTGCCTCAACGATGGTCTCATCTCACAGAAAGGGAGAGAGGCATGTGCTGAGAAATGAGTGGTAGAGACAGAGAGATGCATGGAGGCAGTGGCACGCCCTGCGTCAGCGCCAATACCACTGATCCATGCACTACAGAGACGTGCAGAGCCGGGCTGTAGCCAAGACTCAGTGGAGAGGCAGTGGTGTGAGAAGAGAGGCGGTTACCGCATGGCTCGGTGGTGTTGGGAGGGAGGCCATGGGCGGGGTCGGGCTGGCAGACTTGAGGGGAGAGCCACGACCACACCCTGGTGCGCGTGCGCGAGGAGGCAACGCAGGGGGTGAAGGTGGGCGTGGCGTCTACTGTCACGTTGCACACTGGAAGGGGGGGAACGGGTGAATGATATGGAGAGTGAATGACACTGATACGCCTTGGTGAGATCCACGACGACCGCACTCACGTGCGCGTGCGTGACGAGGCAGCCAAGGGGTTGAAGGTGGGGGGGTTCAAGTATTCAGGTGTTGCACAGGGATGAAATCATGGAAATAGTCACAAAGCTCTGGGTGTACTGGGTGTGGGGCATGGTGAGGGTGGGGTGCACTCACGAGGGCGTGGGGTGCACTCACGAGGGCGTGGGGTGCATTGGGTGCGGGGTGTGGCGAGGGCGAACGTGGTGCTGTTGCACGCCTCGCACTGGCCTGACCCCTCCCTGGTTGAAGGTGGCAGGGGAAAAGGACATGTGCGCGAGAGGGGAATGGGGGAAAGGGAAAAGAGGCGTGGGGAGACAGGAAGGTTTTTGGAAATGTGTGGAGAGCGTGTGAGAGCACGGTGCGCAAATTGCAGCAAGGCATTAAGAAGCAAGGGAGAAAGGCATAAGAAGCAAGGGAGCGAGACAATAGAGTAGAGGGTGAGGGAGTCATAAGCAGCAGTGGGACGGCTGTGGAAAGGGAAGTTGTAAACATGGTGGGCATAAGGGCCGTTCCTTTTGTAAAGACACACACCACGTGGTGTGTGCGATTAGGAGGGAAGGAGGAGAAAGAAGAGAACTAGGAGAGATAGGAGATAGGGACGAGGGGAGAGAGAGGAAAAAGAGGAGAGTGAACAGAGAGGAGAGAGGGGAGAGAGGAGACAGAGAGGGGACAGGGGGGGAAGAGAGGAGAAAGGATCGAGTAGAAAAGGAGAAGATGGGAGAGGGAGGGAGGTGAGCGTACGCTGAGATGTGGTCGGGAGGGCATGCTGTGCAGTTGGTGGCTTGCTCCCCACTGATGAGAGGATGACATCATGAGGAGCATGGGAGCATGTGATGATGAGAGGAGTGTGGTGAGGGGAAGCACAATCCCACACACACAGGCGTGCGTACCCACTCGCAAACACACACTCACTCACCCACCCACACCCCTCTCTTCCCCCCTCCCACACACAAAAAACGCACGCACGCAGAAACACAACCACACGCACACAAAGGCACATGAGGATTGTCCAAGCAGCCGCTCAGGAGAAAAAAACACAGCAACAAGAAGCATTGTGATTCATGAGGTGAGCACACTGATAATGCAGCAGCAGCAGCGGGAGCATGCGCATGCAGCAGCTCAGAAAGCGAGTGGAGTGGAGAAGCAGACAAGACCTGAAGAAGCCGGCAGGGCATTTGAGGCAGGCTGAGTCGGTGAATGCAATGCCGTCCACCTCCAGAAACTGCAGGTTAGATGTGAAAGGGAGGCATGCAGAGAGAGGGAGGCATGCAGAGATAAAGAGGCAGATGGAAAGAGAGGCACACAGAAAGTGCGATCACAGTTTAGAAACTTTAAACGCTTCAAATTCAGAAGGTTTAGACATGGTGTAGAAACTAAAAGTGTGGAGGAGGACGGGCAGAAAACATAGAAGCAATTATTTTCAACTCTACAGCAACACATACGACCGTGGGGGGTGAGCCAAGGACCAGAGCTGGAGTTGCAAACCCTACACCTGTAGGGCGGCAGAGTCCCTGCCCTGCGTGAATGAGGAGCCTTTGACATCAGATTCACGTGAGCGCATGTGCCTGCCTGCTGCCAGTTGTGTTTTGGTCGCCGCAAAAACACAAGCTGGCTACCAGACCGACAAAAGCCACACACCACCTGTAGGGCGACAGAGTCCCTGCCCTGTATGAATGACGAGTCCTTGACATACGCCCACACGAGCGTGTGCCTGCCTGCCCACAGCGAGTTGTGTTATTGAGTTGACTCAAAACACGAAATGGTTACCAGACTGGCAAAAGGCACACCTGTAGGGCGGCAGAGTCCCTGCCTTGTGTGAACGACGAGTCCTTGACATACGCCCACACGAGCGTGTGCCTTCCTGCTGCCAGGGGGAAGCGGACCTCCTTAGGATCGAACTGCAAAGGGAGAGGGACCAAGGGAGTTTTAGGGCACGGGAGGGTTGAAAACCGGAAAGTTGAGAAGGGAAGGACGTAACTCTGATAAGGGTGCAGCTTACACACAAGAGTGCGGACAAAGCAGCACCTGGTGCAGCACTCACCTGGTGCAGCACTCACCTGGTGCGACACTCACCTGATGCAACACTCACCTGATGCAACACTCACCTGATGCAACACTCACCTGGTGCAACACTCACCTGGTGCAACACTCACCTGGTGCAACACTCACCTGGTGCAACACTCACCTGGTGCAACACTCACCTGGTGCAACACTCACCTGGTGCAACACTCACCTGATGCAGCACTCACCTGATGCAGCACTCACCTGATGCAGCACTCACCTGATGCAGCACTCACCTGATGCAGCACTCACCTGATGCAGCACTCACCTGATGCAGCACTCACCTGATGCAGCACTCACCTGATGCAGCACTCACCTGGTTGTAAGCCAGCAGCATGGCGGGGGTGTTAAGGTCGTCGATATAGAACACCAGTCCATCCCGCTGCCGCTCCGAGCTCACTGTGAAGCGGAATGTGACATACCTGGTGGTGGGTGGGGTGTATGGGCGGAGAGGGAGGAGGAAAGGAAGAGAAACAGGGCTGTTGAGTCGACTGGAATTCTCACCGCTCTGAGCTCACTGTGAAGCGGAATGTGACGTACCTGGTGGTGATGGATGGGCAGGGAAGGAGGAGGAAAAGTGGGTGGGGTGAAAGGCGACAAGGACTCAAAGGGCGAGTTTGAAAACTATGCCTTCCCTGTAAAGTGAGAAGGACGGGGAGGGAGTGCAGGAGGAGGGAGTGCAGGAGGAAGTGGTCTAAATGTAGTTGAATTTGGCTCACCCGTCCCTGACGAGAGTGAGTGGCAGCTTGAGCGAGGACTGCAGGTTGTTGTGGCACGTCATGTTGGTGAAGTACGCACACTCCTCCTGCTCACACGGCCACAACAACAGAGATGAGTAACGGTTGCAGTGAGAGAGCTTTTTGAGGCGCCCTCAGAAAGCGAGGACTGCAGGTTGCTGTGGCATGTCATGCTGGTGAAGTATGCACACTCCTCCTGTTCACACGGCAATGAAATCGATGGATAGTGACTGCAGTGCATGGATGGTGGCATCAGTTAGTCAGGAAAGATGTTTTCCTGTGGAAAAGGAGTAACTGCACGTGTGTTAATCAGATCACGAATGGAAAAAAACACATGCAGAAACATCAGCACGTGAAACGGGCACACGGGCACATGAGCACACTCCAATGTGTCACGGACATGTAGCAGTCAAATGAATGGACTGCTGGGTCACGCAAACACCACCCATTCTCCTGCACTCACCATCACCCAGTATACAAAATTCACCAGGCAGGCACCAGCGAAATTCCATTATGCTCCATTCCACACACAAGCACCGCACCGCACTGCACACCTCGAGCCAGTAGTTGGCAGGGTCGTAGGAGCCCACTTTCAGCTGCCCCTCCTCCGCATACCACCCCTCACAGGGGAACGTGCCCGTGTTGTTGCTGAACGAGCACTCTGTCTGCATGGCAATGGGTGAATGATGGAAAGGGTGAGAGGAAGTTGGGCCGGAAGGCAACATTTTGAGTTTGGGAGTTACTTGAAGATAACATGCGCAAAAATGCTGCAGGGGTTGCCTGCAGAACCCCAGCTTGAAGTCAGGCATTCCCTAAAGCACAACACTTCGAGGACCTTAAGTTCAAGCATTATAAAGCACAGCATCCACCTGCAACACAACACCCTGGGTTGTTAACAAAGCATCGTGCTTTATGAATACTGTTTATCAAGCATGGCTCCCACCTGGAAAACCTTGGGGTCGAGGTCCTTGAAGGCATCATAAGACCTTTCAAAGACCTTAAGTTCAGGCATTCATAAAGCAGAGCACAGAACCCACCTGCAACACAACACCCTGGGTTCAGGTGTTAATCAAGCGCAGCTCCCACCTGGAAGACCTTGGGGTCGAGGTCCTTGAAGGCATCATAACGGAACCCGCCTCCCATGCTATAGTAGCCTGCATGCGATAGACAGCAGAGGATAGAAAGCAGATGCGTAATGATGCCAAAGTGAAGGCAAAAGGCATTTGTACCCTTGAATCTTTGTCACAAAGAAGTTCCTGAATATATCAACAGGGCCGCAGTAAGGGACCTCTCAAATGATTTCAACAGTAAGAGAGTTACGACCAACCCTCTCCCCCATTCCCGCCCCTCCCCTTTCCTCCGTTTCCACACAGACACGAGTATACCTTGCGGGCACTTGTGACAGTTGTTGCCTTTGAGAAACATCCCCGGGCCACACCGCGTGTCTGCACACACATGCATTCAGTCAGTCAGAGACGCACACACACAGCAAGGCACACACACATATGCTTGCAGCCATAGGTGAACGCACGGAAACAGCAAGGCACACAAATGGATGGGCACGCATGTGGGAAAACAACGCATCCACACAGGAGTGAAAAAATGTACGTTTAGTGTGTATGCCAGCATTTATGCATGCATGTATGTGTGCAAGCAGGCTTGGGCGCAAGCACGCATGTGTGCAAGCAGGCATGTGTGAAGCAGGCATGGGCGCATGCACGCATGTGTGCAAGCATGCATGTGTGAAAGCATGCCTCACCGCATGGAATGTAGTCGCTGGGAGGGAGGGCAAGGGAGCCACGAGCAGCAGGGTTGCACTGATTGTCGAAATAGTACACCACCTGATGGTGGGGAGGGGAGGACGATATTATGGGATTCATGAGATGAGCTTTGACGAGCGTGCACGCTACATGCTGCAGGGTTGCACTGGTTTGTCAAAGTACTACACCACCTGATGGTGGGGAGGGGAGGATATGGGATGGCGGGGGAGAGGATAGGAAGTTAACAAAAAGTTTTTGGAGATTCTACACATCACAAACAGCAGGGTTGCACTGGTTGTCAAAGTAATACACCGCCTGATGGTGGGCAGGGAAGGATATGGGATGTCGGGGCAGGAAATATGGGGTGATGCGGGACGAGGATATAGGGAGGAAGGAGGAGGATATGGGGTGGTGAGAGTAGGGATATGAGGCTCATGGAGCATGTTATGATTTGAGGAGTCTACAGGTCATGTGCTGCAGGGATTGCACTGGCTGCCAGAGCTATACACCACCTGACTGCTGATTGGTGGCTGGGTGGGTCACGAATGTAGTCCAATCCCATGTGTGCGTGCCATGCCACTGCCAACTCTCCAGTGGGGTTTCTACATATGTCAACCACTAAAGAGCTGTGTCGAGCCTCTGGCTGTGTCAACTAAGTGAGATGAACGGCAGTAGAGGGACGCACCTGGATCATGCGAGTCTTGGAGAGCTGCTGATTGGTGGCTGGGTCACGGATGTAGTCGCACGTGAGGTACATGCTCTTCACGTTCGCCTCTGTGCATGGGACAGGCTTCAACTCTGCCCATGGGCATGGGTATGGGTATGGACACAGGCACAGGCACAGGCACAGGCACAGGCACAGGGATGGGAAGGGTGGTAAGTGGGTCTCAAGGATTTCGCCACAGGTGAGGTTCATACTCCTCCTTCCCACGTTGGTCTCCATGCAGTGCAGTGCAGCAGACCTGAAGGACGGGCTTTGGGTCTGATGAGAGTGACAGGCGTGGGCACGGGAGTCGGGGCACCAAGAACGAAAGGTTGGAGAAGGCTGCTGCGACACTGAGGACAACGGAGCTGCTTGACGGCAAAGATAGGCCCTGGATACAAGTAGGGTCAGAGTGCGGACTGCAGTGCCGGGTGAGTGCTGCGTGCTGCGTGGAGCGTGCTGTGTGCTACACTGCTGCTTACCACAGAACAGAAGGTCCACCGGGATTCGCTTCGACTCTTGCCCTCCCTGGCAGTCTATCGTTGCAGTGTGGGGGGGAAGCGGAGGGAAGCAGGGAGGGGGGAAAGGGGGGAGAAGCAGTGAGGGGAAACAAGTGAGGGGAGAAGTGAGAGTGAAACCAGCGAGGGGGAAATGCAGTGAGGGGGGGATGCAGTTGGGGGAAAGCAGTGAGGGGGGGATGCAGTGCGGGGGAAAGCAGTGAGGTACCTATGGATGAGTTGCTACATCCAGAGGAGATCCTAATGTCTAACAATTGAAACAGTACATTTGAAAGAGCTAGAGCACTTACTGCTTGGGCGATACTGCAAGTAGCATTTGCCATCATCCCCTTTCGAGTACTCCTTCGCATAGTCAGAAGGCGTACACGCTGCAAGCACACCGGGGGACGGGAGGGATTCCCAGGAACGAGACAGTCTGAGAAGTCAGCGTGCTGAATCTACAAATTTGGATTTTCACATGCTGGTTCCTTGAAAGAAACCAACCCACAAATTTAAGCTGCAGAAAACCGCATCGTAAACAGCAGGGAGTACAGACGACTAGTCTAGCAGCAACACAGGGAGTAGCGGAAAGGAAGACGGAAAGGATGGAGAGGGAGCTGACCGCAGGGCTCCTTGCGGATGTTTTCAAACTGGAACGGGTCGGCCATCTAGTCTAGCAGTGAACAGGAAAATGCGGAAAGGAGGAGGAAAGGGATGGACAGGGAACTGACTGACCGCAGGGCTCCTTGCGGATGTTTTCAAACTGGAAGGGGTCGGTGCAGTTGCGATTCGCCTTCTCAAAGTTAATCTCCCTCTTTCCATCTGCCACACCGCACCACGCAACACCACATCACACCACACCAGTCGTCAAGACATCGTAGTAGATCTTAGGATGTCTCGAAAGGTGTCGCTCTTATGCCCTGGTGCACGATACGGAACGATCTCAGATTCTCATGGCAACCATTTGCTTGAGCTTTCTAAACGATGCAAGCTTTTATCATTCATGATGCTGCATTGTGCGTGCTGCTTTGTCGTGAATGGCGTAAGGCAGTCTTACCACCAGTAAAAACTAATAACGGATACCTTGGACAAGACCATAATGAACTTGGGCAAAGCAAAATTACCTTGTCACGGTTGAGACCAGGTTACCACGAGACACCTACTACGCCGAAAGCAGTTCAATACAATCCAAAGTTCTGCGACACTCTGTTTCTCAACTCGCAGATTACCTTGACAGGGTCCAGAAGCTCTGACGTAATCCGTCAGTTCGCACGTCTGACTGCCACTGGATTCTGGCAGTTGAGCCATCGTCCTCTCGACGCAAACGAAGATGGAGAATAGTACGGTGGACACAACAATCCTCGTGCGGACTGGCGCAGACACGTGGGATCCAGATCCGCGACGTGATCCTTTAGCGATTCGCGGTGCTTGAGAATCCATCCTGGCTAGAGTCGCTCGAAGTTTATCGCACGATTCGCCTATCCTGATGCCCTGGAGATGGAAAGTCCAGTCTTCTAGGGGAGCAGAGAATGGGGAAGCGAAAATATATGAAAATCGCCGCCGTTAATGGGCCAGGTCGACAACGGCGTTGACACGAAGCGAGCCCACTGTGAGTCGCCTGTTGACGCGACCTGCACCTATCCGAGCGACAAAGGTCATGGCAATGTCACCCGAAGCGGCCTCTACTGCCTATATCAGGGACCTCCTCCTCCTAGCGCCATGAAGTGCAAGTGAATCAGGAGTGGTGAATGGGTTGTGAATCGGACGTGACGACAATACGACAGGGAGCCTTCGGGACTGCCGAGATATGCTCGAAACTTTCAATAGAAGGACGTTCGCAGGTCAGATACTACAGTGGCAACATTTTCTATGAAATTAGCATGTACAACATCCTACTTCCAACCCTTATTTTCTACAAAGAAATCGGCATACTTGGAAAATAGCTGTGCACTCAAGGTCTGACACACAAAAAGACCTCATTTCAGTCCTAACATACCACACACTAAATAACACAATTGTCGTTTCAGACCACCTAGTTAATCTCCTCCATATCGAGGATGAACTCCACTAGCTCAGCCTTGCGCATCCTCGAATACCCCCGCACTTTCCTTTCCTTGAGCAACGATTTCAAATCCTGGGCCGTCATCGCCTCAAGCGCATCTCGCCTCTTCACCCCATTCACACTCGGCGCTGCTTCCACCACCGCCTCGATATCTCCTACATCTTCTTCTTGGGTCACCGCTACTTCTTCAGCAGCACTGACTGATGCATCTGACACAGGAGCAGGTTCCAGCTGTTTCTCCTGAGCAGCAGCAGAACCAGACAGGTTCAGAACGACTTCTGTCAAGTGGGTGCCTGGGCGCGGTCTGGACTGGAACCTTGGGAATTGGCGCTTGAACTTAGAAGGCAGCCGGGGAGGAAGTGACGAACGCCATCGCGTGGCTGCTTCGACAAGCTCCTGTTCAGACAGAGAGGGAGATTGATTGAGTGTTTGGCCAACAATGGAACATGAGGGGAGAGGGGGGAGGGAGAACTGAACATCAGGCAACAAGATCAGGATCAATGGTGAGGGTTAAAGTTTACGGTGCTGATGACGAAGCTGACTTGCAAAATTATGGACAGGGTGGTATGGAAGGAGGGATGGAATGGGGGCAACAAGAGGCCACGCTAGTTAAAGACATGGTTACACAAGGCAAACAAATTTCCCATGAAAAAATGGATGAAGACAGAGCCGTGTCCAGCGAGCTCACAAATGTGATGTGGAGCCGGTCTAGGAGTTCAATTTCGCAATGAAGGAGGGATGGGTTTTGGGGTTTTCAGCACAAAAACCAGCTCACAAACTGGCAAAAGCCTGCACTCTTCCACGCGCGGTTATGTGGAAAGGCAAATGTTATCTGCGTTCCCTTCGTCTTTCCCGCCCGCAACAATGACAAAAGCAACTCACCGATTCATCGTCGCTGGGCTCGCCCGCTGCGGCCGCTGCCTCCAGTTTCCTCGCCATCGCATCCTTGAGCGGGCTCCGCTTCACAAATCTGGTGGGCGGCCGCTCGGGGATCGCAACAGCGACAGCAGGAACAGCAGTGGTGGCAGACGCATGGTCAGCAGAGGCAGCACTCTCAGCAGAGGCCTCACCTGCTGCAGTAACCACAGCTGCCCTCTCGTCCTCGTGAACCGCAGATGCTACTTCCGCCATCGCTCCCGCCACCGCGCTCCGCTTAGAGCTCTGCTTGCGCCGTGCATTGGCCACGGGGGACCGCTTCGCGAACCCCATGGGGCGCTGACGCGTAGCGGCACCTCCTACCGCTGCCGCTGGTTCTGCTGCTGCTACTGCTACTGCTGCCACAGGCTCCACTACCGTCTCCTCCGTTACAGGCGCTGCTGCCACCGCTGCAACTGCTGGCTCTATCTCAGCGGCTGGTGCCGACTCCGCTACGACTGCTGCCTCTGCCTCGACTGCTGCAGGATCTGCCTCGACTGGCGCAGGCTCTGCCTCGACTGCTGAAGGCTCTGCCTCGACTGCAGCGGGCTCTGCCTCGACTGCTGCGGGCTCTTCCTCTTTGGGAATGTCGGCTAATGCGTTGTCTGCTGCTGCAGCGACTACTACCGGATCGGCGCTCACCTCTTCTTGCAACGCTTCAGTAGCCGTTGCTGCTTCTGCCTCCGCTTCTTCCACTCCTGCTGGAGCAATCTCCGCAACCTCAGCTGGAGCTTCGGGCTCAGCCGGTGCGGCTGTCTCGGCTACTGGCTCTGGCGCAGGCACTGGCTCGGGTTCAGGTTCCGGCTCTGGAACAGGCTCGGGCTCTGGTTGAGGTTCGGGCTCTGCAGCTTGTTCGGGAGCGGGCTCTGAGGCAGGTTCAGGGGTGGGTTCGGTTTCCTGTGCGGGTGTTGGTTCGGCAGAGACCTCAGGTGTAGGCTCTGGCGTTGGATCAATCTTTGGGGGCGCCGAGGGGTCGACATCGCCGAAGGAGTAGAGAACGGTACCGTCAGGAAGCTCTGCTCCAAATTAGAGTTGAAATGTACACAGGGAGGCACGAATGTTCTATCGTGAGTTTTTTTTAGAAAATGTAATTCGTTAACAAAAAAAAGGTCTATTTTTAAAAGCTTAAAAAACAGAAGTCCTACTGACAAACAGGAAGTTGCAAACATCTATCTCGCGTGATAAAAAGAGAATGAATCAAGAACAAAATGAAGCAATACGTGAAAACAATCATACCTTTGATTTCGATAATGTCGAAGAACGAAGGGGGTTGGTTCTCATCAGATTGCGCTGCCATGGCTACGCACCGCCGACCATGGCTGCTCGACCTTGTTGAAATCCATGGAGAAACGGAAACCCGGTTTAACGTCTTTACTCCGCCAGAAGCTGTCTCCGCTACGACATTGCTCCGCGTTCTGCTCAGCGAGGCCGCCGGAGGCGGAGCGCAGAGCGACAACATGGAGGTTGCTGCCGCCGCACGACTGCTCAGCATTGTCTTACACAGGATTGAAGCGCGAAGGGCGGAGAGCTCTGGTCAGCCCAACTAACCAAGGCCCTACAATGACAATGATTCCAACAATGACAACGGCCTAGAGACAAACGAGAAGGACCATTGCGAAGGTTGCTGCTTGCATGTGTTGGGTTGTGGGGGGTTGGGACCTGCTGCTGCAATGCGGCCGCATTCAAGCATGCAACTCTGATGACATTTGGTTCGTCATACTCAACCAAAAAATGGTATGTATTGGAAGAGTGGTGCAGGAAGTACTGTTCTGCCTTTGCCAGAATGGGTGCGTATGAACCTTTGACTCCATTCAGAAGTCACATTCTCGAAGTTTCAACAGAAAACAGTTCCTTGGGAGTTCCGTTGGGCAGAAACTGCAGAATCAACAGATGAGCTGGCGGTGAGCGGGAAACTGTTGTACGTGTGGCTCAGCGTCCCTCGCGCGCACATCGTTATCCACTCATGAGAATCCACTCATGAGAATCCACTCGCTACAAAGGTGACTCGCGATAATCATTTTCCGTGCAGAGAATCAAAACTGCACTAAATCTGTTCTTCATAATTTGTAGGGTACAGCAAGAATAATGAGACATTCAGCATCCACACATTGTCTCTTTCAAACGAGTATGCATTGGTCTGTCACCAAACGCGCTTCACACAGCAGCTGCATCTCTGCTAGAAGCAACCACCGCGATTCGCACTGAGCATGTCAGCTTTGCTGCCTGTAACATGGCTCCCTGCTCCGGCGTATTTGGGCCAAACCCGACTACTCTCGTCGCGTCGTAGTTCTCTCGCTCTCGCTGCTCCGTATCTGTTTCGCAGGACAAATTTAAAAAATCCTAGCCACGTAACGCAGTCCCGAAGTTCGCGTCTGAAAGTAAGAGCATCGGCGCCGGATATGGAGTCAGTTGCCGCGGAAGAAGCGGCGTCTAAGCCGCTCCACGCGGTGGTATGCGGGGGAGGCGTTATCGGCGCGTGCACTGCGTTTTACCTGGCGGAGAAGGGGGTCAAAGTAACGGTCGTCGAGAAGTGCCACGTGGCATGCGCTGCTTCTGGAAAGGCGGGTGGGTTCCTTGCATTGGATTGGTGCTCCGGCCCTACTGGGAAGCTCGCACAGGTGAGAGCCAAGTAACGATATTAAGTCACAATTGAGAATTCAAGAGCCACTAACACAACGTATAAAATTCAGTGAGTAATTCTTCACATACGTTGTTCAAAAGCCAGCAAAAGCCAGTATGTTAAGTCTATTCCCATTTTGCTCCCTTCTCCAATCCTTTCCCCTCCCTTTTCCCTACCAGCTGAGCTATCGTCTTCACGAGCAGCTAGCACAGCAGTTCGGTGACTGTTACGGTTACCGCAAGGTGCACACGCTCAGCCTCCAGGTCGCCGAGCCCAAAAATTCGTCTGGCGGGCAGCGAACAAAGAACTCCACGCTGCCTGGATGGATAGACGGGCCAGTGCGGGGAGTCCAAACGATGGGATCGCCAGTCACAACTGCCCAGGTTCACCCACAACTGTTCACAGAGACTCTACTTAGAGTGGCTGGGGAGAGGCATGGGGTGGAGGTACAACTGGGGGAGGTTCAAGAGGTTGCTGTGGCGCCAGTGGGGGATGCTGCTGCTTCCTCTAAAGTCACTGGTGTGATTGTAGATGGTGCTACAGTGCCAGCTGATATTGTGCTGTTTGCACTGGGTCCTTGGTCCGGCAAGAATCGTCTCATAGCACGGCTGGGCCAGATTACAGGGCTGAAGGCGAACAGTGTCGTGGTCCGGCCGAACCAGAATCCCGATGCTGTGACCAACCATATGCTCTTCCTGCAGTACAGGACAAAAGACGGGCGGCATGCAGACCCAGAAATTTACCCCCGGCCATCGGGGGAAGTTTACCTCTGTTGTCACAGAAGGGGATAATTACCTTCCGGATAATCCTGAGGAAATCACCACCACCCCAGGCGTCCCAGAGTTCTTAAAACGAGTTGGAGCCACAGTGTCGTCGGCACTATCAGATGTGACTATAGTGAAGGAGCAGGCGTGTTTCCTGCCATGCTCCCAGGATAATGTGCCTGTAATAGGCGCTGTGCCAGGGATGCAAGGGGCGTACATAGCAACGGGGCACACCTGCTGGGGCATTCTGAACGCCCCTGCTACAGGCCTGGCTGTAGCAGAGCTGGCTGTGGATGGCAGGGCTAGCTGTGTGGACCTTAGACCCTTTGACCCTGCTAGGTTCTTGTAATTTTTTTTCGTTGTAGAGTAATTTTTTATGCACAATGTTGGCTTCCCCTCTCCTAATTGGTTGCGTGTGGAACAGTGGGACCTGTGCATGCTGGCGTGCAAGGCGAGTCGCATAGCAGTGTGGCACAGGTGGTGATGTTTTGCCCTTGTTGTAGGCCTGGGCTGCATCAGTGCTGACAGCTCATTTCACTGCCAGGATATAAATAGAAATGTAATATATGTATCATCACTGTCATTTCAGAAGATATATAGTTTAGTTCTTTAGTGTATGGGATGTTTTTCAACTAAGTATTCTTCATTGATAGTGAAATACACCCTATAAGAATAGCCCATGTCTAGAAATGTAGCATTCAGATCAGTTGGTCTGGTCTAGCGTGCGGCGGTACAGTGTGCACAAGAGATGCGAGTGGAGGGCAACCACAGCGTCTTGAGCGGCGAGGGCGGGAGGGCGAGCAGGCATGAGAGGGAGAGTGAGAGGGAGAGCAAGAGGGGGAGTGAGAGGGGGAGTGAGGGGGGAGAGGGGAATGAGAGGGAGATGAAGTGGGGAATTGGAAGAGGGAGTGAGAGGGGGAGTGGGCGGTGAAGTTGCCACCCTCAGGGAGTGGGTGCGGGTCTCTGGTGCTCTTTGAGCCTGGGCGGACCCCACTCTCCCACTGCTTCACTGCGCTCAGCCTCCCTGTCCGTTCTCCCTTTCAAATGCCCCCCCGTGGCCTTCCTCTCCCTGTCCCGCTCCCCCTGGCTCCACTCCTCCCCCCCCTGCTCCGCCCAGGCGGGGGCCACAGCGGAGGACCTTCATTTCTTCCAGCAGCTGGGAGAAGCGCTGCTGCGGGCGCAGACACGTTATTGCCTCGTTGAACCGCCTCTGCCTGCGTGGGGGGAAGAGAGGGGAAGAGGGGGGGGAAAGGGGGGGAGATGGGGGGAGAGGGGGAAGAGGGGGGGAGAGGGGAGGAGAGGGCGGGAGAGGGGGGGAGAGGGTGGGAGAGGCGGGAGAGAGGGCGGAACAAGGAGGAAATGAGAGGAGATGAGGACTGCCGCTGCGGACGCAAACACATGATGGCCTCATTGAACCGGCGCTGGCTGCATGGGGGGAGGGGGGGGGGGGGGGGGGGGGGGAGAGAGATGGGTGGGAGGGTGTTGTGGCGGGGGAAAAGGGTGGGTGGAGCGAGTAGGAGAGAAGAACCACTGCTGCGAGCGCGGACACGTTATGGCCTCGTTGAACCGGCGCTGGCTGCACGGGGAGGGAAGGGGGTGAGAGGGGGGGAGAGGAGAAGGGTGGGGGTGTGGGGAGGACAAGGAGGGTTCACGGACTGGATGCCAGAGTTGAAAGCAAGCAGCGTTGAAAGCAAGCAGCGTTGGAAGCAAGCAGCACAGCACCCTAGACTATACGACACGCTTTTGTTGATCATACCAGAATGATGCTCACTTGGGCAGGCAGGCTCACTGGATGTTTGGTGGGCCGTTGGCAGGGCAGCAGCGCAGCACTCACCGGATGACAGCGCTTACAGCGACTGACGGCACTCACCAGATGTCAGCGCTGACAGCACTCAAGTGCCAACTCTTGAGGCGCCTAAGAATCATTTAGAAGTCAAACACAACACAGCACTCACCGAATGACGGCGTTGACGGTGTCCCTCAGTTGCAGCCCGCCCCTCTGAATACCTGCACGGATGGGCGCACGGGGATGGGCGCACGGGGATGGGCGCACGGGGATGGGCGCACGGGGATGGGCGCACGGGGATGGGCGCACGGGGATGGGCGCACGGGGATGGGCGCACGGGGATGGGCGCATGGGGATGGGCGCACGGGGATGGGCGCACGGGGATGGGCGCACGGGGATGGGCGCACGGGGATGGGCGCACGGGGATGGGCGCATGGGGATGGGCGCACGGGGATGGGCGCACGGGGATGGGCGCATGGGGATGGGCGCATGGGGATGGGCGCAGAGGGATGGTGAAAATGCAGTCAGGCAGGGCACATGCACAAAGGCATGGGCATGCATGGGCATGGACATGGGCATGGGCATGGGCGTGGGCATGGACATGGGCATGGACATGGGCATAGACATGGGCATGGGCATGGGCATGCACACGCACGCGCACATGCACATGAACCCCCCTTCCTCTCCCAGACTTCCCCATCTCTCCCACCTGTTCGATCATGAGCGCGGAGTGCGGCCAGTGGAACCCAAAGTAAGACAGCATGCACGCGTCCAGCTCCGCGATCAGCTCCTCCCCCAGCTGCTCCCCCGCCCCCGCTCCCGCGAGCCCCCGCCTCCCCCCTGTCTGCGCGACGAGCGCGAGAAGGTTGGCGCGGCTCTTATCGAATGTGCTCTTATCCGATGTGCTCTTATCGCCCCTCACTTAGTCGTCCGCCACCTGCGCCCGTAGAGCCACGGCTGCCATGTGACTTTTGAGTCGCCTCAAAAGTCGCCTGCGCCAGTAGCGCCACCGCTGCCAGGTCCGTGGGCATGCCCCACTGGCGCACTGGCGGACGGGGAAAGCGGAGAGGAGGACGGGGGAGGGGGACGAGGAGTGTCCGAAGGGAAAGGCGCGGGTCGCACATGATGCCCGTGCGCTCACTACCACGTACCACCTTCTCGTCCTCTCTAACCTTCCCGTGGCTGTGCGTGGGACCGTGGAACATTTCCGGGAGCTGCGGCTTCCCAGGCGGGAGTGCGTGTTTTTCCGCACATGATACCAAGAGTTGGCTGATGCTTCATAAAGAAGGTGATTGTTCAAGGGCAGATCCTCGACATAAGTTTGAAAGCACATCAATTGCAGGTTGTACCAGCAAACAAATGAGGCCCCAGGCCCACACTCATGCGTCAGGCCATGGATCACAAGCTTTGTTTTAGTCAGATATTAATTGATCACAAAATAACACACATTTTAGATACTTTATGTTGAAGTAAGATAAGGAGGTGAAGGGCATCTAAAGTGGAGTAGAAATGAACTTAAACACAAATCACACAGAAAGTTCATGTGCTTTCATTTAGTTCTCAGATTGAGGATGTCTTTGACGAGGAATGGCATCTTACAGAAGACAGAATATTCACTCTTGGTCTGACGTGTAAAGTTCACCCACTCCTGAAACCCCGTTTTGCCAGCGTAGAAAGTCCAACTGCAATCCTTGACACCCTCGAGTTTTGGGTTTGAGTTGGTGAGGGAATGGAGGCATGCTGGTTTCTTGACTAGGTCAATGGGTCAACGGCGTTGCAAGGTATGGAGCAGTGCGTGTGTGACAGAACAGAGAAGCAAGTTCGAGGTTGGCCGAGCATTTGGTGGTGTAATCCGAACACGTCAGAACAGTGTGCCACGTATGCGGATATCCACGAAGAATTCCCCGCAAACGCCGCAAGCCTTCGACAACCGTCGATCTCCTTCGCCGTAGCCACAAGAATTTCGTGACAACCAATCATGAGCGGCAGAGGATAACCCCCTATGTTCCTGCATCCCGGGCATGTTTCAGCGGTTCGAAAGATTCTGTGGTGCTCCTCCCTTCCTTGGGTCACGGGCACCGTGCCTAGAACCTCGCATGAAGTGGGGGCTGGGACCCAGCGTGTCGCTCTGCCCGCTGACACGTTCGGAGCTCTGCAAACGAATCGCTGGCGGGCAAACGCAAAATATTTTCCTCAGAAACGGCCGAAGCTGCTTTACTATTGCCCCTTTCAAGCGTCATCGCTGTTCAGTTTCCCGTCAACACTACTGACCAAACTCAAACCCAGTCTGATGCTCAGTGTGGTGAACATCGACAGTAGTCCACGGAAAACCAGGAAACAAAGTCAGTTCGACGGACCGCATCTGAAAAATCTCCAAATTTCTCTGACCCATGTGAACCATGCCCCCGGAGATCGGGCCAAACAAACACCCAGAGTGACCACTTCATTCCCTGTTACCCTCTGCCGCCCTGCAGAACACACCCGCTGCGCACCCCTTGTAACAACCTCCCCGTGCCATCTTTCGGGAAAATTCCCGAGATGCCCGTAACGAATGTATGCGCGCCTGGTTCCTGCTGCACCTGCTGCGGACGAATGGCACGGTTGCGTGGGCAGACGCTGGCGGAGCAAAGCACGCTCACGCTGCACCCCCAGCCGAAGGCCATTTGCCATTCATCCCTGTCACATAATCTCCCGCACCACCCCCAGCACCAGTTCACACCAATCATTCCCCCCAGCCTGCCTGTCTGGTCCCACTTCCAGACCATTCCTCGATTCTGTTTCCCGCGTTTCTGACCCTCTGAAACCGTTTCTGCTCCTAGCCTGTTACTCCGACCTGAAATGCAGGACCGCCATGGATGCTACTCACCCGTAGGCGATGCTGCCTATAGAAGACCCGGTTCCCCATCATAATCGGGCAATTGTGGGTGTGAGCGTCGCAGTTGGAGCGGTCAGCATATCCAGTTCGACGCTCGAGGCGTCAACCATGGCTGCCGTTTGGACCCTTGAGTCTTCAACACTCAGCTAGCAGGACGTACATTTACTATTTTTTTTCAATCGCTGCTCCAAACTGGTGGACAAGGCCGGTACCTTGGCGAAATCATCGCGTCCGCACGAGTCTCTGACCGACCCGACTCTGACATCTGACAAGACTGAGCGTCAAACATCGACACTAACATTTTTTCATTAAGCCTTAATTTTTCCCCTGTTATTTTGTAAAGATCAAGACCAGCCATGACCAGCGCAGCCCCTTCAGCAATGGCTTCCCGCGTCGTGGGGTCTCCAAGCCCGCTTCTTGACCGTGCCGCCTCCAGCTCGTCATCGTTTCTCAGCGGACGGCCTCCTCCGTCTTCTTCCGGTACCAACTTCTTTCGCGGGACAACTTCCCGGGCGCGTGGCGGACTTTCCTCGAAAGATCGTGTTTCATCTTCTTCAACCATCAGTAAAAAAACCGGACCGCGAGTCAAGGCCAGACTCGCCCTTGCACCTGCTCTTAGAAGCGCGGATATATGGCCTCAGCACCCTTGCGGCTCGGTCTTGGTGATTAAGGCTCCACCAGCACTGCGGTCGATTAAGCGCTTAATCTCCGCCGTCTCTGCGCGCCCCGCGGCTTCCCGGACCAACTCTGCGGAGACTTCTGCGGGCGGAAGCGAGGATATTCCGGCGGAATCGAAGCTTCTCTCTCAGCAAGACGACGAAGCGCAATCGGCACCTATCCCCGCGATCGTACTTCCGCAACTGCCGTCTCGGTTCGCTTTGCCTACTCCTCGTCTGAATCGTCGCGCTCTGCTTGGCATCGGCGCCGCCGCACTCGGCGCCGCAGCCGCCGCCGAGCTGGGGTTGGTCAACGCGGCGGCGGCGGAAGCGGGGAAAGAGAAGTCGCCGTTGTGGTTCCTCGGCAACGCTAACGGCGCCGGGGTGAGCGTGGATGGCGGCGCGAAGGCCGCGGCAGCGCCGAAGGGCCCCGAGTCGCGTGTGTACGACGCAACGGCGGTCGGAGAGCCGGCGCTGCTGGGGGATAAGGAGGGCGTGTGGCAGCGACTTTTGGCGGCTCGAGTGGTGTACCTAGGCGAAGCAGAGATGGTTCGCGACCCGACGGACAAGGTGAGGCTTGACGATGGAGGTATAGTCTTAATTCCGCCATTGTTTTTGTGTTTTGTCTACTTCCAACTAGTTTTCGGTATATCTTGACACATGCTGCCCCCATTTCTGCAACATACATATTAAGGCTTAATCGTTGAAGACCATGCTTCCCTCTAAGACGTTCTCTTTTCCTTTTTTCGCCTACCTCGCCTTTAATTATTCAGGTCGTGGCTCTGGAAATCGTAAGTCGGTTGAGAGACGAGTGCTTCAAGGCGGGGCGCCCCGTCACCCTCGCGCTCTCTGCGTTTCCGCGATCCACGCAGCCGCTTCTCGACAAATATCTCAACAAAAGGTGAGGCATCTTCTTGTACGCGCTGCACCGTTACTCGCTATTGCTATTTCGAGATGTTATTTATTTCCCTGTATCTCGTATTTCTGACCGCATCTTGTTTCTCTGCCAGGCTTTCTGAAGAGGACCTCCAGGTGGCAGTGAGCCATTGGTCCAAGGGTCGCTTCGAGGAGATGGTTCCGCTTTTGCAGTACTGCCGCGACTCGGGCGTCCGCCTCTTCGCGTGCGGCGTGCCTCCTAAGGTGAGCGGCGCGTCGTAGTCCTTACAAGAACCTCGGCACATCGTTAATTGTTTGGGCCTCACTCCCTCGCTCCCTCGCTCCCTCGCTCCCTTTTCTTCTTCACCTCGAAGACTTGACTTAACATTTTCTCGACCCCGCCCTCCGCTCCTTCTCCCCCGCGCGCCCCTTTCCGCGTCAGATTCTGCGCACGGTGCAGGCTGGCGGAGTGCAAGCCCTCGCGCCCATCGACCGCCAGCGCTACGCCCCTCCCCTCGGCGGCTTCCCCGCGCCTTCCCCCTCCGCATCAACCGACCAACCGCTTACCAGCTCCGCGGCGGCATCCGCGACGGCGGGGCTGTGGGGGCTGGAGCCAGCGGCGGTGGCGGCGGAGGTGTACTCGCGGGAAGCCGTTTCGCGAGCGTCGCTGCCTTTCGGCCCGGGGCCGTACTGGTTCGCGCAGGCGCGCGTGGTGGAGCAGCACGCCGTGGCGCGCAGCATCGATCAGGCCATGGCGGACGGCGGAATCGTCGGGCTGCTCGTCGTCCTCACGGGCGCGTCGCAAGTGCGCTACGGAGCGCAGGGGTCCGGAGTCCCTGCCCGGATCAACAACGGGCAACTGAAAATTTCTGCTGGGTCGCAACGAGTGGTCCTTCTCAACCCCGAGCGCCAGCGCAGCCGGGGAGACGGCGAACTGCCCGAAGCCGATTTTTTCTGGTACTCGGGCAGCCGCATGTGCACGCAAAACTGTTATGACAGGGCGGAAATCGCGCGCGTGATGGGCGCAGCGGGGAGAACCTTCGACAACCTACCGCAGGACCTACAAACGGGGATAGAACGCGGATTAATCTCTCCGGACACGCTCCAGTCGTTCTTCGAGTTAGAAAGCCACCCGCTAGTCGCGGAGGCGACGAAGCGCTTCCAGGGGCTGCGGGAGCGCGTGTACGCCGACCCGCGGTTCCTCCAACGGATAGTAACTGAGGAGGCGATCAGCGTCACGACGGCGCTGCTGGCGCAGTGGGAGAAGCGGCGCGATCGATTCTGGTCGGAGATCGAATACGTCGCGACGGACGTGCTGCGCGGCGTGATCGTGAATTTCTTCACCGTCTGGTTACCCGCTCCCACGCTCTCGTTCCCCGCCGCCTCTGCCGCCTCTTCAATCGCGGGCTCCGCAGCAGCAGGAGCGGCCGGCGCAGCGGGGGCGGTGCAAGGGCCGGTGCAGCAGCTGGTGTCAGGTGTGGGTGCGTGGGCTGCGACGCTGCCGAAGAACGCGTTTCAGAGGGCGACGCAGCCCGGGCAAGA